GGGATGAGAACACAAATGGTGAGAACGCAGCGAACCGTCTGTGGGATGAGAACACAAATGGTGAGAACGCAGCGAACCGTCTGTGGGATGAGAACACAAATGGTAAGAACGCAGCGAACCGTCTGTGGGATGAGAACACAAATGGTGAGAACGCAGCGAACCGTCTGTGGGATGAGAACACAAATGGTGAGAACGCAGCGAACCGTCTGTGGGATGAGAACACAAATGGTGAGAACGCAGCGAACCGTCTGTGGGATGAGAACACAAATGGTGAGAACGCAGCGAACCGTCTGTGGGATGAGAACACAAATGGTAAGAACGCAGCGAACCGTCTGTGGGATGAGAACACAAATGGTAAGAACGCAGCGAACCGTCTGTGGGATGAGAACACAAATGGTGAGAACGCAGCGAACCGTCTGTGGGATGAGAACACAAATGGTGAGAACGCAGCGAACCGTCTGTGGGATGAGAACACAAATGGTGAGAACGCAGCGAACCGTCTGTGGGATGAGAACACAAATGGTGAGAACGCAGCGAACCGTCTGTGGGATGAGAACACAAATGGTGAGAACGCAGCGAACCGTCTGTGGGATGAGAACACAAATGGTGAGAACGCAGCGAACCGTCTGTGGGATGAGAACACAAATGGTGAGAACGCAGCGAACCGTCTGTGTGGGATGAGAACACAAATGGTGAGAACGCAGCGAACCGTCTGTGGGATGAGAACACAAATGGTGAGAACGCAGCGAACCGTCTGTGGGATGAGAACACAAATGGTGAGAACGCAGCGAACCGTCCTGTGGGATGAGAACACAAATGGTGAGAACGCAGCGAACCGTCTGTGGGATGAGAACACAAATGGTGAGAACGCAGCGAACCGTCTGTGGGATGAGAACACAAATGGTGAGAACGCAGCGAACCGTCTGTGGGATGAGAACACAAATGGTGAGAACGCAGCGAACCGTCTGTGGGATGAGAACACAAATGGTGAGAACGCAGCGAACCGTCTGTGGGATGAGAACACAAATGGTAAGAACGCAGCGAACCGTCTGTGGGATGAGAACACAAATGGTAAGAACGCAGCGAACCGTCTGTGGGATGAGAACACAAATGGTAAGAACGCAGCGAACCGTCTGTGGGATGAGAACACAAATGGTAAGAACGCAGCGAACCGTCTGTGGGATGAGAACACAAATGGTGAGAACGCAGCGAACCGTCTGTGGGATGAGAACACAAATGGTGAGAACGCAGCGAACCGTCTGTGGGATGAGAACACAAATGGTGAGAACGCAGCGAACCGTCTGTGGGATGTGAGAACACAAATCGTGAGAACGCAGCGAACCGTCTGTGGGATGAGAACACAAATGGTGAGAACGCAGCGAACCGTCTGTGGGATGAGAACACAAATGGTGAGAACGCAGCGAACCGTCTGTGGGATGAGAACACAAATGGTGAGAACGCAGCGAAACCGTCTGTGGGATGTGGGGATGAACACAAATGGTGAGAACGCAGCGAACCGTCTGTGGGATGAGAACACACAAATGGTGAGAACGCAGCGAACCGTCTGTGGGATGAGAACACAAATGGAAAGAACGCAGCGAACCGTCTGTGGGATGAGAACACAAATGGTGAGAACGCAGCGAACCGTCTGTGGGATGAGAACACAAATGGTGAGAACGCAGCGGAACCGTCTGTGGGATGAGAACACAAATGGTGAGAACGCAGCGAACCGTCTGTGGGATGAGAACACAAATGGTGAGAACGCAGCGAACCGTCTGTGGGATGAGAACACAAATGGTAAGAACGCAGCGAACCGTCTGTGGGATGAGAACACAAATGGTGAGAACGCAGCGAACCGTCTGTGGGATGAGAACACAAATGGTGAGAACGCAGCGAACCGTCTGTCTGGGGTGAGAACACAAATGGTAAGAACGCAGCGAACCGTCTGTGGGATGAGAACACAAATGGTGAGAACGCAGCGAACCGTCTGTGGGGGATGAGAACACAAATGGTGAGAACGCAGCGAACCGTCTGTGGGATGAGAACACAAATGGTAAGAACGCAGCGAACCGTCTGTGGGATGAGAACACAAATGGTGAGAACGCAGCGAACCGTCTGTGGGATGAGAACACAAATGGTGAGAACGCAGCGAACCGTCTGTGGGATGAGAACACAAATGGTGAGAACGCAGCGAACCGTCTGTGGGATGAGAACACAAATGGTGAGAACGCAGCGAACCGTCTGTGGGATGAGAACACAAATGGAGAACGCAGCGAACCGTCTGTGGGATGAGAACACAAATGGTGAGAACGCAGCGAACCGTCTGTGGGATGAGAACACAAATGGTGAGAACGCAGCGAACCGTCTGTGGGATGAGAACACAAATGGTGAGAACGCAGCGAACCGTCTGTGGGATGAGAACACAAATGGTGAGAACGCAGCGAACCGTCTGTGGGATGAGAACACAAATGGTGAGAACGCAGCGAACCGTCTGTGGGATGAGAACACAAATGGTGAGAACGCAGCGAACCGTCTGTGGGATGAGAACACAAATGGTGAGAACGCAGCGAACCGTCTGTGGGATGAGAACACAAATGGTGAGAACGCAGCGAACCGTCTGTGGGATGAGAACACAAATGGTAGAAAGACGCAGCGAACCGTCTGTGGGATGAGAACACAAATGGTGAGAACGCAGCGAACCGTCTGTGGGATGAGAACACAAATGGTGAGAACGCAGCGAACCGTCTGTGGGATGAGAACACAAATGGTGAGACGCAGCGAACGCAGCGAACCGTCTGTGTGGGATGAGAACACAAATGGTGAGAACGCAGCAGCGAACCGTCTGTGGGATGAGAACACAAATGGTGAGAACGCAGCGAACCGTCTGTGGGATGAGAACACAAATGGTGAGAACGCAGCGAACCGTCTGTGGGATGAGAACACAAATGGTGAGAAAGCGAACGCAGCGCAGCGAACCGTCTGTGGGATGAGAACACAAATGGTGAGAACGCAGCGAACCGTCTGTGGGATGAGAACACAAATGGTGAGAACGCAGCGAACCGTCTGTGGGATGAGAACACAAATGGTGAGAACGCAGCGAACCGTCTGTGGGATGAGAACACAAATGGTGAGAGAACGCAGCGAACCGTCTGTGGGATGAACACAAATGGTGAGAACGCAGCGAACCGTCTGTGGGGATGAGAACACAAATGTGGGATAAGAACGCAGCAAACCGTCTGTGGGATGAGAACACAAATGGTAAGAACGCAGCGAACCGTCTGTGGGATGAGAACACAAATGGTGTAAGAACGCAGCGAACCGTCTGTGGGATGAGAACACAAATGGTAAGAACGCAGCGAACCGTCTGTGGGATGAGAGAACACAAATGGTGAGAACGCAGCGAACCGTCTGTGGGATGAGAGAACAAATGGTGAGAACGCAGCGCAGCGAACCGTCTGTGGGGTGAGAACACAAATGGTAAGAACGCAGCAAACCGTCTGTGGGATGAGAACACAAATGGTAAGAACGCACGCAGCGAACCGTCTGTGGGATGAGAACACAAATGGTGAGAACGCAGCGAACCGTCTGTGGGATGAGAACACAAATGGTAAGAACGCAGCGAACGTCTGTGGGATGAGAACACAAATGGTGAGAACGCAGCGAACCGTCTGTGGGATGAGAACACAAATGGTGAGAACGCAGCGAACCGTCTGTGGGATGAGAACACAAATGGTGAGAACGCAGCGAACCGTCTGTGGGATGAGAACACAAATGGTGAGAACGCAGCGAACCGTCTGTGGGATGAGAACACAAATGGTAAGAACGCAGCGAACCGTCTGTGGGATGAGAACACAAATGGTAAGAACGCAGCGAACCGTCTGTGGGATGAGAACACAAATGGTAAGAACGCAGCGAACCGTCTGTGGGATGAGAACACAAATGGTAAGAACGCAGCGAACCGTCTGTGGGATGAGAACACAAATGGTAAGAACGCAGCGAACCGTCTGTGGGATGAGAACACAAACCAAGAACGTCATCACAACACAAACTGTCTGTGTGGGATGAGAACACAAACATGGACCATGAACGCACCGAACCGTCTGTGGGATGAGAACACAATGGTGAGAACGCAGCGAACCGTCTGTGGGATGACAACCAAACACCACCATGACGTCATCACAACCAAACACCATGACGTCATCACAACCAAACTCACCATGACGTCATCACAACCAAAACCATGACGTCATCACAACCAAACACCATGACGTCATCACAACCAAACACCATGACGTCATCACAACCAAACACCATGACATCATCACAACCAAACATCAGGATGTCATCACAACCAAACACCATGACATCATCACAACCAAAAACATCATGACGTCATCACAACCAATCACCATGACGTCATCACAACCAATCACCATGACGTCATCACAACCAATCACCATGACGTCATCACAACCAAACACCATGACGTCATCACAACCAATCACCATGACGTCATCACAACAAACACCATGACGTCATCAACCAAACCATGAATCACCATGACGTCATCACAACAAACACCATGACGTCATCACAACCAATCACCATGACGTCATCACAACCAATCACCATGACGCCATCACAACCAATCACCTTGACTTCATCACAAACAATCACCATGACGTCATCACAACCAATCACCATGACGTCATCACAACCACTCACCATGACGTCATCACAACCAATCACCATGACGCATCACAACCAATCACCATGACGTCATCACAACCAATCACATACCCTGAAGTGCGAAGCTCGCTGAACGACGTCTGATAATGTGTTTGTCATGTTTTGTCGCTCCGGACGGATATCTTCCTCTTTTTAAATATTTAACTAATTCTTTTGCCTTCGAAGAATCCATGTCAGCTGATCACACAGGAAGGACTGTTCCCTAATCGAGGACTGAAGAAAGGTCAGAGTGCAACATTGATCAGTACCGGGACCCTCCAGACTTCACCCGGCAGTAACGGGACCCTCCAGACTTCACCCGGCAGTAACGGGACCCTCCGGGATTCACTCGGCAGTAACGGGACCCTCCAGACTTCACCTTTCAGTAACGGGACCCTCCAGACTTCACCCGGCAGTAACGGGACCCTCCTGACTTCACCCGGCAGTAACGGGACCCTCCTGACTTCACCCGGCAGTAACGGGACCCTCCGGGATTCACTCGGCAGTAACGGGACCCTCCAGACTTCACCTTTCAGTAACGGGACCCTCCGGGATTCACTCAGCAGTAACGGGACCCTCCGGGATTCACTCAGCAGTAATGGGACCCTCCGGGATTCACTCAGCAGTAACGGGACCCTCCAGACTTCACCCGTCAGTACCGGGACCCTCCAGGATTCACCCGTCAGTAACGGGACCCTCCAGACTTCACCCGTCAGTACCGGGACCCTCCAGGATTCACCCGTCAGTAACAGGACCCTCCGGGATTCACCCGTCAGTACCGGGACCCTCCGGGATTCACCCGCCAGTAACGGGACCCTCCGGGATTCACCCGCCAGTAACGGGACCCTCCGGGATTCACTCGTCAGTAACGGGACCCTCCGGGATTCACTCGGCAGTACCGGGACCCTCCGGAATTCACCCGTCAGTACCGGGACCCTCCGGGATTCACTCGGCAGTACCGGGACCCTCCGGGATTCACCCAGCAGTACTGGGACCCTCCGGGATTCACTCGGCAGTACCGGGACCCTCCGGAATTCACCCGTCAGTACCGGGACCCTCCGGGATTCACTCAGCAGTACCGGGACCCTCCGGGATTCACTCGGCAGTACCGGGACCCTCCGGAATTCACTCGGCAGTACTGGGACCCTCCGGGATTCACTCGGCAGTACCGGGACCCTCCGGAATTCACTCGGCAGTACTGGGACCCTCCGGGATTCACTCGGCAGTACCGGGACCCTCCGGGATTCACTCGTCAGTACCGGGACCCTCCAGGATTCACTCGGCAGTACCGGGACCCTCCGGGATTCACTCGTCAGTACCGGGACACTTCCCTAATACTGGCTGTGAAGATGTCTCCCGGCCTCCTCTGCACATGTCAGTTTCAGTCACAATCAATCGATTGCCGAACGGCTGCATCCACCTTGTAGAGTTCTCCCTTCCTGGCAATGTCTTGTCACGTGACTGAGGGAGAGATGGGCGTGTCGGCTGTGCAGGGGGCGGGGCCCACACAGGATGGAGGATGAATGAGCCTTCCGTGCTGAGTGATGGGCGGCATCATCTATTGTGTACATGACCCATCCTCCGCCCAGACACCGTGCAGGACCCCTCACACGGGACACGCCGCGCCATTCACACGGGACACGTCATATAGGATGACCAGAGACTGCAGACACAGTACAGGAGATGACCAGAGACTGCAGACATAGTACAGGAGATGACCAGAGACTGCAGACATAGTACAGGAGATGACCAGAGACTGCAGACACAGTACAGGAGATGACCAGAGACTGCAGACATAGTACAGGGGATGACCAGAGACTGCGGACACAGTACAGGGATGACCAGAGACTGCGGACACAGTACAGGAGATGACCAGAGACTGCAGACACAGTACAGGAGATGACCAGAGACTGCGGACACAGTACAGGAGATGACCAGAGACTGCGGACACAGTACAGGAGATGACCAGAGACTGCGGACACAGTACAGGAGATGACCAGAGACTGCGGACACAGTACAGGAGATGACCAGAGACTGCGGACACAGTACAGGAGATGACCAGAGACTGCAGACATAGTACAGGAGATGACCAGAGACTGCGGACACAGTACAGGAGATGACCGGAGACTGCAGACATAGTACAGGAGATGACCAGAGACTGCGGACACAGTACAGGAGATGACCGGAGACTGCAGACAGTACAGGAGATGACCAGAGACTGCGGACATAGTACAGGAGATGACCAGAGACTGCGGACACAGTACAGGAGATGACCAGAGACTGCAGACATAGTACAGGAGATGACCAGAGACTGCAGACATAGTACAGGAGATGACCAGAGACTGCGGACACAGTACAGGAGATGACCAGAGACTGCAGACATAGTACAGGAGATGACCAGAGACTGCGGACACAGTACAGGAGATGACCAGAGACTGCAGACAGTACAGGAGACGACCAGAGACTGCGGATACAGTACAGGAGACGACCAGAGACTGCAGACATAGTACAGGAGATGACCAGAGACTGCAGACACAGTACAGGAGATGACCAGAGACTGCGGACATAGTACAGGAGATGACCAGAGACTGCGGACACAGTACAGGAGATGACCAGAGACTGCGGACACAGTACAGGAGATGACCAGAGACTGCGGACACAGTACAGGAGATGACCAGAGACTGCGGACACAGTACAGGAGATGACCAGAGACTGCGGACATAGTACAGGAGATGACCAGAGACTGCGGACATAGTACAGGAGATGACCAGAGACTGCGGACAGTACAGGAGATGACCAGAGACTGCGGACATAGTACAGGAGATGACCAGAGACTGCGGACATAGTACAGGAGATGACCAGAGACTGCGGACACAGTACAGGAGATGACCGGAGACTGCGGACACAGTACAGGAGATGACCAGAGACTGCGGACACAGTACAGGAGATGACCAGAGACTGCGGACACAGTACAGGAGATGACCAGAGACTGCGGACACAGTACAGGAGATGACCAGAGACTGCGGACACAGTACAGGAGATGACCAGAGACTGCGGACATAGTACAGGAGATGACCAGAGACTGCGGACACAGTACAGGAGATGACCAGAGACTGCGGACATAGTACAGGAGATGACCAGAGACTGCGGACACAGTACAGGAGATAACCAGAGACTGCAGACATAGTACAGGAGATGACCAGAGACTGCAGACATAGTACAGGAGATGACCAGAGACTGCGGATACAGTACAGGAGATGACCAGAGACTGCAGACATAGTACAGAAGATGACCAGAGACTGCAGACATAGTACAGGAGATGACCAGAGACTGCAGACATAGTACAGGAGATGACCAGAGACTGCGGACACAGTACAGGAGATGACCAGAGACTGCGGACACAGTACAGGAGATGACCAGAGACTGCGGACATAGTACAGGAGATGACCAGAGACTGCGGACATAGTACAGGAGATGACCGGAGACTGCGGACATAGTACAGGAGATGACCAGAGACTGCGGACATAGTACAGGAGATGACCAGAGACTGCGGACACAGTACAGGAGATGACCAGAGACTGCGGACACAGTACAGGAGATGACCAGAGACTGCAGACAGTACAGGAGACGACCAGAGACTGCGGACATAGTACAGGAGATGACCAGAGACTGCGGACACAGTACAGGAGATGACCAGAGACTGCGGACACAGTACAGGAGATGACCAGAGACTGCGGACACAGTACAGGAGATGACCAGAGACTGCGGACATAGTACAGGAGATGACCAGAGACTGCAGACACAGTACAGGAGATGACCAGAGACTGCGGACATAGTACAGGAGATGACCAGAGACTGTGGTCATAGTACAGGAGATGACCAGAGACTGCGGACACAGTACAGGAGATGACCAGAGACTGCGGACACAGTACAGGAGATGACCAGAGACTGTGGTCATAGTACAGGAGATGACCAGAGACTGCGGACACAGTACAGGAGATGACCAGAGACTGCGGACACAGTACAGGAGATGACCAGAGACTGCGGACACAGTACAGGAGATGACCAGAGACTGCGGACACAGTACAGGAGATGACCAGAGACTGCGGACACAGTACAGGAGATGACCAGAGACTGCAGACACAGTACAGGAGATGACCAGAGACTGCGGACACAGTACAGGAGATGACCAGAGACTGCAGACACAGATTACTGTAAAATCCAGTAGCTTTGCCAAGTTGATATATTTGTTGATGTTTCTCAGATATCAGAAATCTGCCGTCTTATTGGAGTTTATTAAGTTAGTTAATTATAAGATAATGAAACCATTTTACTTATTTTTTTGAGTGAAACCAACTTAAACCAATGAAGGTGCAGCAGAGGCCGCAGTGACAATACTACACCAGTGGGGGCAGCAATGCATTAACTGTCCTTAAAAAAGAAAGCAATTCCTATGCAGAGGAGCTTTGCTGGGCTTGGCTTGGCCTGGCCTGGCTTGGCTGGGCTTGGCTTTGCTGGGCTTGGCTGGGCTTGGCTTGGCCTGGCTTGGCTGGGCTTGGCTTTGCTGGGCCGGGCTTGGCTTGGCTTTGCTGGGCTTGGCCTGGCTTGGCTGGGCTTGGCCTGGCTTGGCTTGGCCTGGCTTGGCTTGGCTTGGCCGGGCTTGGCTTTGCTGGGCTTGGCTTGGCTTGGCTTTGCTGGGCTTGGCCTGGCTTGGCTTGGCTTGGCTGGGCTTGGCCTGGCTTGGCTTGGCTTGGCTTGGCTTGGCTTGGCCTGGCTTGGCTTGGCTTGGCCGGGCTTGGCTTGGCTTGGCTTGGCCTGGCTTGGCTGGGCTTGGCCGGGCTTGGCTTGGCTTGGCTTGGCCTGGTGGGAAGGGTTAACAGCTTCTGCAGGGGAGAAACAAAGCTTAAACTCAGCTGATCCTCCAATACTGCAAATGGCTCTCCCCCCCGCGATCCAACAGTGGACTATTCTTGACATCCTCATTTCCTGCAGGTCTATGGGCTTGCTGACATCAGGACCAGTTCACTACTGAAGAACACTAGATCATGGGGGGTGGAGGTGCACGAGCTGCGGGGAGAATTAAAAGATCAGGTAAGTATATCTGTCACCACTAGACAGACACGGGTAGTTACCCCTCGCAGCCCCTCCGTAATATTTGTTTTGCCTGGAGTTGGGCTTTAAGTGATTGTAAAGTCTAAACAATTTTTCCTGCATTAAGGTGATGAATGTTTATGTGATATTACCGCCCCCTCACTCCCCTTGTTACACTTCATCCAGCGCCATATGTCTGTATAGCGGCTTTCTCTTCTGACTTCCAGGTCTAACAGGCTTTGCTGAGGCAGCTGCTCCTTCTGTCATCACAGCCAGTGAAGGGAGATTGAGGGATGGTGGAGCCGGAGTCTGTCATCAATCACAGCCAGTGAAGGGAGATTGAGGGATGGTGGAGCCGGAGTCTGTCATCAATCACAGCCAGTGAAGGGAGATTGAGGGATGGTGGAGCCGGAGTCTGTCATCAATCACAGCCAGTGAAGGGAGATTGAGGGATGGTGGAGCCGGAGTCTGTTATCAATCACAGCCAGTGAAGGGAGATTGAGGGATGGTGGAGCCGGAGTCTGTCAATTGACACAGCGGCTCAGGATTGAGCCTGCAGGTGTCCCACCGTAGGAAGCGCACTGAGAACACGAGGAGCCATGAGTAGTATATTAGTGGCAGAACACTGTACCTTTAATTTAAATGCCCTTGGAGTCTGCTGGGGAAGAGAAATAATACTGTCATCAGTATGACATGCAGATGAGTGCCGTCGATCTTAGAATCACCGCACACTTCACTCATTTGGCCAGTCACGGGGCCAAAACCAGTGTTTGGAGCCACAGTGTGGCGGTGAGGCAGCAGCAATGGGAGCCATACAGCACCCTATGACACAAAATGGAAACCAGCAGGAGCGTGAGGAGACCTTGAAAGTGGCACATGGCAGAGTGGGAGCAATGAGGAGGCGGTACAAGGAACCCATGTCACACTGTGGGCCCAGCAGCAGCGTGACCAGGCGGTACCGGGGCCCATGGGCAGATTACATGCCAGGCATCACATGAAGGAGGCGGTATATTAGGGGCCCATGCAGATTAGGGGCCTGGCAGCAGCTATAGGAGGCCCTATCTGCCGCCCCCCTATGAAAAAAATGGAAAAAACCCGCAGTGTGTGAGGAGCCCTAAAAAGGGGCAAAAGGGCGGGAGTGTGGCGATGGAGACCCCAAGCAATGGGGGGCCTTTTACGGGGAAACCCATGGAGACTGGGGAAACCTCCCCAGCGCATGAGGGAGGGGGTACGGGGCCCCATGGCAGTTTTGGGGCCGGGGAGCAGCAAATTGGGGGCCCCCGTAATTGCAGCACCCTTTTGTAAAAAAAATTCAAAAAACCCCGGGGCATTTGTGGGGAGACCTGAAAGTGGCCCAGGGCAAAAATTTTGTGGCGTTGGAGACAGAGAAAGGGGGAGGACGACAGGGGCCCCATGAGAGATTTCTGGACCTGGCAGCAGATGGGGGGCCCGGTACGGGGGCCCTTGGCAGATTGGGGGGCGGGCACAGTTGGGGAGGCCCCGAAATTTTGACAGCACCCTTTTGACAAAAAAGGGAAACACCGCAGTGTGAGGAGACGGGAAAGTGGCCCTGTTTGGGGCTTTGTTTCATGGCGGATTTAGTCAGTTGTGTCAGGAAATTTGGGGGTTTGAAATCCTGCCTTTTCCATGCCTGATTCATTTTCACAAACGTGAGGGCTCTCCCAAAAACTTTGGGTGGACGTCGTGTCCTTCCCCGGAGTTAAATACCTCCTGCCGCCCCTTTAAAACGCGATCCCAATTTCCCCGCTACTGGCGGGCATGACGCCTTTCAAGGGCAAATTCAGCTAAATTGGGGCCAAAAGGGCAAATTTGTTGCCCCCGTTGTCCAAGGGGGTTGTTACCCTCGGTTGGCAGGGTGCTGCCAAGTAGGGCCCCAAACCTGTTGTTTTGGGGGCTCCTGTCCAAAGGGGCCCCCTGATGTGCTGCTGCTGCCCGCTGCTTTTGGGGTGGTTAGTTGGGGTTTTCCCCACTTCGCTTTGGGGAAGAAAGTACTCATCATCGAAATTTTTCAGGAGGGGCCCCCTTTTGGTGGGGCCGCCAATGCTCCTACCACCCACCCCTTTCCCCCGTGCCATGCCAGCGGAAACCGCGAGCGGGACGGGGCCCAACCCCGTGTCTGAGGATGGCGGGTTGGGGAAGAAAGGCAGGCCAATGACTACATAGGTGGTTTTTAAGGACGTTTAAATTTTTGGGCCCCTCTCAGCAGGTGTGAAAAAGGCCACCCTTTTTGGGCCCGGGGAGCGGGGGTTTCCCCAAGGTGGACAGCCAAAAGT